GTAGGCTTTTGAGTCTACCTCTACAAGAACTCTTGCATCTGTCCCTTTCTCTCCACTCACTCTTCTCCAGGACTATTGTAATAGACTCCTCACAGATCCCTCTGCCTTAAGCCCGCCCCCTAATCATTCATACAAGCTGCCAAAGTGAAAGTCCTAAAGCACAGTTGTGACCATGTTACTTCTTGCTTAAGAAGCTTCAGTGGTGGGTGGGGAGGGAGAAAATTTGTAACCCAAAGTTTTAAAAACACATGTTAAAAATTTAAAAAAAAAAGCTTTAGTGGTTCCTTTCTGCCTCTTAGATACAATACAAATGTCACTCTCCTGTAATCAAAACCTATATACGTCCGTCACTGACCAGCCTCTCCACATATTTCACATTATTACTCCTTAAACACTCTTACAGTCTCACCAACTTGGTTTACTTGTTTGTTGTTCCCTGCACAAACCATTCTCTCTCCATGGCTTTGCACAGGCAATACCCCTAATGCTGAAATGCTCTTTCCTCACCGCCTCCTCTTGGAATTCCTTGCTTCTCTTCAAAGCTCAAATCAAGCGCTGCTTCCTACAAGGTCTTTCCTGATCCCACCTACTGTGAGTACTCTCCCTGCCTCTCCTGAAATTACTTTGTATTTGAGTATATTTTGTATTTATTTTTCTGTGTACATATTGTTTCCCAAGTAAGTCCTTAGGGGAGGAACTGTTTTCTCTTCTATCTTTGTATCTCTCACGTCTGGCATAGTTGTAGGTGCTTAAATGCTGGATGAATTGAACTGATAAGGGGACCTCTGTCTAAAGAAACTAGAGATGAGGTGAGGGGGAGGGAAAGAACATGATCACTATCTCACGTATTTAAAGAACTATCATAAGCAAAAAGACTCAACATATCCAAATATAACTTATTATCTTTCCCTCAAAACTGATCCTTCCTCTAAGTTGTCCATTTCTGGTGATACCCATTCTTATGTTCACAGCGTCACAGTCATCATTACTTCCCTGCTCTCCACATTCCATCACTGGTCAAGTCCTGATGTCCAATCTCCATAAACTATTTCATCTGTTCTCTTCTCTTCTTGAGGGCTGAGATTTTCTTTCCTGTATTTGTATCCACAGTGCCTAGCACTTGCTTACTGATTGTTGTCATCTCTATTTGACTGACTCAAATGGCCATCAACTCTCACTCAAACTGTTTCAATAGCTGCGTACATGATCGCCCCAAACCACTCCATTCCCCACTCAGCTGTCAAATTCATACTCCTAAAGAAGAGGTCTAACCAAGTCACTTCTCAGGTAGAGATGCTTCTGATTATGTTACTTCCTAATGGCTCTAGGATAATATGCAAATTCCTCTTTTTTAATAATTTGGCTCCACCCTATCTTTCTAGGATACTTATACTTACGTCTTACCTCCCCTCAAGCACTCTGCATCCCAGAAAAACCTGTACACTTGCTGTTCCTTTTACTTGACTTTTCATTTTCCCCCTCTATGCCTCTGTACAGGCTGTTCCCCATTTCAGGGATACTCTCATAACCACATCTCCTCATCTTGGAACCACTAGCTCCTTCCAAAACTTCAAAGGCTACTTTCTTCAAAAGACTTCCCCCATTACCTCAGTTGTTAGAACCTCACCCTCATGACTTATCAATCAATCAATCAGCAATTATTAAGTGCCTATATTATGCAGGCTCCATGCTAAACACTGAAGATACACATACAAAGAACAAAACAATGCCTCCTCATATTAACTTCTACAAATTTATTATGTATCAATCAAAGGTAGGGATGGTCTCACTTTTGACCTTTTATCTTCAGCACTTTAGTATGTCCCTAGCACATACATAGCACTTAAGAAATGCTTTCTGAATATTGATTAACATCACTCATGCTTGTGACTCAACCTCGATGTCATCTCCTACACGTCAGGTGTCACTATCTTCCTCAAAAATGTTCAACAGCTCCCAATTAATTTCCTCTAAGGATAAAGTACTAACTTGTCAGCTTGGCATTAAAGTCTTGTACAATTTAGCTCTAACCTACCCTTCCTGAATGTTTTCATCTTCCATCCCCTCCTATAGGGTACATTTTGGCCAAGTCCGAATACATACTATTCCTAGAGTTCCCCATTTTATCTCAAGCACTGGGCCTTTGTTTAGCCTGCCCCTGCTTTCTGAAACGTACTCCTTCAGCTTCTTAGAATCCTTAGCTTCCCTAGCTCAGGCACCACCTTCTATGGGCAGTCTTTTCTGATTTGCATCATTATTACTGTTCTCTCCCTCCTCAAATTATCTTCTACTCATCTGTATAAATATTTTGTTTCTTCTCAACAGAATATAAGTCCCTTGAAGACATAGGATCTTTGCTCACCTTTCACATAAATACTTGTTAAAATGAAGAGGCATTAGACTTGTCTGGCTTAGTCCCACAGGACAGCACTAGAAGTAACGGGAGGAAATTGCAGAAAGGTAGAGTTTGGCTTGATACAAGAAAAACCTTAATAGAAAAGCTGTCCAAGAATAGTGCAGCATAGTGTAGTATAAAGAGAAATGACTTCAGAGTCAAGAGACAGAATTCCAGGCTCAGTCTACACCAGTTTACAATAGTCACCTCCAATTCATCACCTCCCACTCACTTCTCAATTGTTTGCAATCTGGTTTCTGACTTACCTCTCAAATGCAACTGATCTCTCCAAGGTATCTATGATCTCCAAATTGCTAGATAATAGGATCAAAGATTTCTAGCTAGAAGGAACCTTAGAAGCCATCTTATCCATTTGCTTCTTTAAACAGATGACAAAACTGAAGTACAGATAGTTTCAGTGACTTGCTATGTGTTACACAGCTAACAAGTGTCTGAGGTAGGAGTCAAACTCTAGACTCCCTGACTTCAAAACCAAAAGCCTTTTCAGTTCTCATTTTTCTTGAGGTTTCTGCAGCCTTTGACACAACTGAACACCTTCCCAGTCTCATCCTAAACACTCTTCTCCCTTGGCTTCCAGGATACCACTTTCACTTGGTTTTCTTCTTATATATCCAACCATTACTCTCAGTTTCTATATCGGATCCTTCCCTCAAGAAATGTGGGTGTTCCCTAAGGCTTTTTCCTTTGCTCTCTGTCATTCTCTATGTTCATTCTTTTGGTAATCTCTATTAGTTCTCATGGGGTCAATCATCTCTATGCAACAGAATCCCAAAGATATCAACATTCACACCTCCTTAATTCCTGGACAGTTCCACATGAATGTCCCATGTATATTGCAAATGGAACTCATTATAACACACCCCCCGCCAAAAAAAAGTTTTTTTTAATCCCTCCTACAAATATCTCTCTCTATTTCTGTTGACTGCATTATCATACCTCTAGTCACCCACTTTCACAACTCTGGCATCATCTTTGATCTTTCCTTCTGCTTTAATCTTTACATACAAAATCAGTTGCCAAGTCTTGTCAATTGTACCTCTCCCCTAAACATCTCACATGCTTCTCCTCTCCACTGATTCACAGTTTCTACCCTAGTTCAGGTCTTCTTCACATCTTGCCTAAACTACTGCAATCACCTCCTAATTGTCACGCCTACTTCCAGTCTCTCCCCTTAGACAATTCAGCATCCACATAAGTTGCCAAATTCATATCTGCTCCTCTACTCAAAAATCTTTGGTGGACCCCTATTTCATCTATGATAAATGCAAAATCTTCAGTTTAGCATTTAATGGCCTCCACATATTTTCTTATTCTTACATTTATATTATACTTCTTAATGAATTCCAATCATTTTGGTCTGCTAGATTAGCTATTCCCTGTACAGGACGTTCCATCTCCCTTCTCCACACCTTCGCATAAATGGTCCCTAGATCTGCAATGCACTCCCTCCTCGTCTCTACTTCATAAAACCCCCAGTTTCCTTCTAAGTACAAGCGCCTAGCCTCCTCCTACCTAAACCCTTTCCTGGTCCACCCATTTAGCACTTTTCTCCCCTACAAACTACTTTCTATTTACTTATATGTAAATATGTCGCATCCCTCCAAGAACCTAAGCTCCTCTAGGGCAGGACGGATTTCATTTTCGTCTTTCTTTCCAGGCTCAATCTCCTCATTTTCCAAGCCTGGCACGGGTAAATGACTCTTCACCCAAGGTCACAGCAGGGGTGGCAGAGCCGACGCCCCGTGAACCAGACCCCCAACAAGGTCTAGGCTCGCGGACTCGGAATGCAAAGCTCTCTCCCCGACACTAGGTGGGTTCCCACGGCTCATGGCTCGGGTATTCCGGGTGCGGCTTCCGGGGTGTCTGTCACTCGGGACGAGGTGCCCAGGCTCCGGGCCCGTGGGGCTTACTTACTTGGCAGCGCCCGGGGGTGGCGCTAGGCAGGCGGCAGGCGCGGCTCACATCCCCGAAGGCGCCAGGCCCCGGGGCGGGCACAGTACCCGGCGAGCTGCCCAGACAGGGGCATAAGCGCTTCCCGCGGTCGGCGCGCGGGGCAGCGTCCGGGCGCAGCAGCAGCAGGAGCAGGAGCAGCGGCGGCGGGGACGGGGAGACGCCGGGTCGCCCCCGCATCCCGGGGGCTCCGGGACTTCTCCCCCGGCCCCGCGCCGCCGCCGGAGGCACGACACCCGTTTCCTCCTTCCCCAAGGGAGTGTCGCGACGCAGAGGAAAAGAAAAGCAGGAGAGGGGAGGGGAGTCTCCAGTTAAACCCGGGCCGCTCCTCAGACAGATCTGCCGTAGGGAGGGGTGGGGAAGCCGGGCGGCCGCAGGAGCCGGGACAAACACACCAGCTACCCAAATCACCAAGGAAATCGATCCCGGCGGCCCCCGCGACGCGCCGGAAGCAGCCGCCGGCGCGCTAAGAAGGCCGCTCTGCACGTGACGCTAAGGGGCTAGCGCAGGCGCAGAAAGGTCCACCTTTGGCCAATCACAGGGAAAGTTGCCCGGATTGTGGCGGCGGATGGGATCGGCGCATGCGCGGAACAAAAGCATTACACCCCCACCCCCCCCCCCCCCCACCCCTTCCCCGGCTCTGGAAGATCATCTGCTCACCAGAAAGGAGGGAGGCCGCCAAGCGAGATGGACCACTTCCGGGCCACAGGACTAAGCGGGCCGAAGGAAGCTGGGGGTACCGGTAGTGGGGAGGGCGGCTGTGCCGGGGGCCACTTGTCCTCCCCAGCGGCTCTGGCGGTTTCCCCGGCACTCCCGCGGCACTGAGGTAACCGGGCCGGGGCGGAGCTGGGGAGGTGAACGTCAGGGGAGGCCCAGGACCGGCCTCCGTTAGCGCCTTTCTCTGCCAGAAGCGCCCTAGCCTAGCACGGGTTTGGGGATTGGGGAGATCCGGGACACCTAGATCTCGGCAGGGGAGAAGGGACAGCCCAGGCCCCTGCCTCTCGGGGGACTGACCCTCCCCCTCCGCTCCCTGGTCCTGACGCGGTAGCTTAAAGGCAAGGTCGGAGCTGGAAACGGAGGTTTAGAGACTAGGAGTGACTTGCCAAGAACAAGCCAGCTCCAGGTCTGGGACTTGAACTCAGATCTCCTGGCTCCCAGTTTTCCGCTCTTTCCGCTATATGAGGCTGCCTGTGCATACCCGACCTGTATAACTGGGTTAATAGCTTCTACCTGATACTTCTTGTTCCCATATTCTTTTTTTTTCCATAATTAAAATTATTTTAATACTTAAAGTTTGAAAACACGTAAAAGTAGAAAAAAGAATACAGAACACAATTCCCTTCAGAAGTGTTTCTGATGCTTCTCTTGCCTTGTAGGCCAATCTTTTTATACTCCCATATTTCACTTTATTCATTAACAACATTCAAGTGAGGCAAGTAGCATGAGGATCCTCTCATATTTTGTGTCTCCAGGATTCATTACTTCTTTGGTGTGGATACACCTCTTAGCAACATAAATCACAGTCTCTCTCCCATTTTAGTAGATTGTCTTCAAAATCCCCCCTCCCCTCCCCTCACACACTGGTTGGAGGCCAACCCCTAGACTGGTTCTTGGACAATAGATATAACTTGGATTGACTATCTTCAGTTCCATGTTCAGAAGCTTGTCCAGCTTAGTAAGACCTGCTTGGTCTTATATTCTGCTGGCCAAACTTTTGAGGAAATGGACACTTCCCTATCACAGCACTAAAAGCATCAGAGGAGGACTTTAAAGATTAGCTCCATTTTACAGATGAGGAAACTGAGGCTCACAGAGCTGCAGTGACTTATTCAAAACCACAGGCTTGATAAGGAGTAGAGCCAAGACAAAGACCCTGGTCTCTTGATTCCCAGGCCAGTGCTTTTGTTTTCTTCTTAACATTTACACCATTTTGTCTTGCTTCTCATAGATTAGGCCAACAGCTTTCTTGGAAAACCTGAATTGAAAATATTCAAACCCTAGGTAATGAATATCTTATCACTGTACTTTTAAAAATTAATTTATTTTAAGTTCTTCTCCCCAGTACCTATACACTCATGCACACACATATACACCTTACCTTCTTTGTCATTAGTTACTGTCATTAAAAAAAAAAAATCTGACTCAGGGTTATTTAGATGGAGACCATATTTTTTTGGTTCATGACAGCCCCCTCCTTTTTTCTTCTCAGTTTCCCATACTTGTGACATAGTGCAAACGCGAGGAGGAACGGACACAGCATTGGTTAGTTGTGGCCTTAACCTCATCCCGCGGACATGGCTAACAAAGGAAACAAAAAACGCCGACAGTTTTCTTTGGAGGAAAAAATGAAAGTAGTAGAAGCAGTGGATTCTGGCAAGCGAAAAGGAGATGTGGCAAAGGAATTTGGCATCACTCCTTCTACATTGTCCACGTTCTTAAAAGATCGTGCTAAATTTGAAGAAAAGGTAAGGGAAGCATCAGTGGGACCACAGCGAAAAAGAATGCGTAATGCACTCTATGATGACATTGACAAGGCTGTGTTTGCTTGGTTTCAGGAAGTTCATGCAAAAAACATTCTTGTAAGTGGATCAGTGATTCGAAAAAAAGCATTGAATTTGGCAAATATGCTAGGCTATGACAATTTTCAAGCAAGTGTTGGCTGGCTTAATAGATTTCGTGATCGACATGGGATTGCTTTAAAAGCAATCTGCAGAGAGGATAATGATAAATTAATGAATGGTATAGGAATAGATAAGGTTAATGAATGGCATGCTGGTGAAATTATAAAACTGATTGCTGACTACAGCCCAGATGATATTTTTAATGCTGATGAAACAGGCATGTTTTTCCAGTTGTTGCCACAACATACGCTTGCTGCTAAAGGTGATTGCTGCAGAGAAGGTAAGAAGGCCAGACAACGATTGACTGCACTTTTTTGTTGCAATGCATCAGGAACTGAAAAAATGAGACCACTGATTGTTGGTAAATCAGCTACCCCACGATGCTTCAAGAATGTGCATTCACTTCCTTGTGATTACCGTGCCAACCAGCGGGCGTGGATGACTCGAGATCTGTTTAATGAGTGGCTAATGAAAGTTGATGCAAAGATGAAACAAGCAGAACGAAGAATTCTCATGTTGATTGACAACTGTTCTGCACATAACATGCTTCCACGTCTAGAAAGAATTCAGGTTGGCTATCTTCCATCAAACTGTACAGCTGTTTTACAGCCACTGAATCTTGGTGTAATTCACACCATGAAAGTTTTATACAGGAGTCGACTCTTGAAGCAGATTCTTCTCAACCTCAACAATAATGAGGACAAAGAAAAGATCAACATTAAACAAGCTATTGATATGATAGCTGGGGCATGGTGGTCTGTTAAACAATCCACAGTAGTGAAGTGCTGGCAAAAAGCAGGAATAATTCCAATGGAATTTACTGATACTGATCCAGAAGAAGATGATGAACCAGATATAGCAACTGAAAAATTATGGAATTCAGTTGCTATTGCCTCATGTGTTCCAAATGAGGTCACTTTTCAGGACTTTGTAACTGCTGACAATGATTTACTTATATCTCGTGAGTTAACAGATGTGGAAATTGTTGAAAGTATGATTAGTGGTACAAGCCCTGAAGAAGGTGAAAGTGAAAGTGAAGATGATGAAGGTGTCTCTTTGCTGGAGCAACCAAAACTAACCATTGCAGAAGCTATTTCAAGTGTAGAAAAACTCAGGCAATTCCTTTCTACATGTACAGATGTTCCTGATGCAGTCTTTGGACAACTAAATGGTATAGATGAATATTTAATGACAAGTGTAACACATACTCTTGTGGAATCCAAAATTACAGATTTTCTCCAAACAAAATAAAATGGGAAAATTACTTCATCTTTATTTATGTTGAGGGTATAGTTAACATGACTAAAGAATGTTCCTTTCAGATTTTGAACTTATTTTAAGCAATACTATTGCATTGACATTCCAATACTGTGAAATGATTTTGACATTTGAAACTTGCTGTAATGGGATTTGGTCTCTGATGTATTTGATTGCTATCTGTATTATCTCTTAATTTAGTGTGGAAAGATTAACCACATTATAGATTATCCATGAGACCTGCAGTTAGCTTCTTCGTAATGTCTAGCTGGATCCCAGAATTTTTCCTCCAGTTTACAATCGACTTTGCTCTAAAGATGGCATCTAGTATTGCCCAGCTTTGTTACATTCCCCCTCATGGTTTACTGCAGTTAGGACCAATTATCTTTACATAGCATTGCAAATTTTCCTCTAGTCTGATGAATTGTCCTTTGGCACAGCTCTCCTCTACTTCTTCTTTTCTTATTCTCTATAACCAAACCTTTCCCATCCTATCCTCAGAAGATAATAATTTGATAGAAGTACTTCCTATATAATTACTTAAGCAGGTAACATGTTTCCTAGCCTTTTAGAGATGAGCAACTTGGGTTTATCCCTAATAGGGAGATGAGATAGGAGGGATTTAGAACATATTTTCTTAGAAGAGTAGGCATAGGAGGTAGTTGAAGTTTTCGGAGTGGTCCCATAGTAAGGGACCACAGAGCTCAGAGAGAATAGAGGAGCAGACCCATAGAAATATTAGGTTTTCTGATGTTCATCTATTATACTTCTGATCAGGATTGGAGGTTTAAAAGAGATTCAGGTGTGAGAGTGTGCATATGAATATGTTTGGATCTACCCTGATTTGAGATCTCACTCCATTCACTCCATACCTGTAGATAATTCAGAATCTGTTCCATATGATAATATTAACATACTGCATTGCCTGCTCACCAGGGGAGAGACTAAAATAATGAATTGCTCCTAATTTCTCTGTTATTGTTCTTCGTGGAAATCTGTTAAGCTAGATTTGATTTAATTCAGGGTTTTAAAAAAAAAGTTACTAGAAAAATTCAATAAGATTTTTTTTCCTACAAAAAACACTTTATCTTTTTGTATTCCTAACCTAATAGTTGTCACAACTCAGAAAAATGTAGGTTTTATTTTTAGGTGCAAACCAGTCAGAAGGTACTTAACTTTAAGGTGGTGGTGAATTTTGATATTTTTTCAGATGAAATTTTTGGATACTTCAAGAATGCTGAGTGTTGGTTTGGTTATATTTCAAAGTTGAAACTTGTGAAATCATTGGGGGGGGTGGAGGGGGCAGGGGAAACTGTCTCCTGTTGGTCAGATTAGCTATAGATATCAGAGAATATTTTTGCCATGATGTATTAGGAGAACCTCCATCACCAAAAACAACAGATATTTAAGTTGTCTTATTAAGAAATACAAAATTTATGTATTCTGGATATTTTTATTTAACACAAATATAACTATATTAATAAAATGAATGCATATTTTTGAATTTTCAACTAGTTTAGGCCAAGAAAACAAAGTGATGTATTTCTTCCTTCTTCTAGTCAAGATGTCGGCAAGTCTTGTCATTTCTTCTGCAATGTCTCTAGGTTTCACCACTTTCTATTTTCATACATACACAAGTTGAATCAAGACCCTCAGTACCTCATACCTGCAATAGCCTAGATCAGAGGTGGGGAACCTGCGGCCTCAAGGCCACATGCTTCCCACCTCTGGCTTAAATGGTCCAATTCCATCCTGTATGCTGTTACCATATTAATTTTCCAAAACACTGCATTCAGCATGTCACTTTCTCTTCCCAAAAAGCTACAGTGACTTCTCTTTGCTTACAGAATAAAATGCAAATGTCTCAACCTGACTTCCAAGGCTGTAATTTAACCATTCTTATCTCAATATGCCCCAAATCTAGATAAGCCAGACTGTTATTTCCCCTAACCTATACCACTCTTAATCCTGCCTCTGTGCCTTTAATTATACTTGAAGGCTCTATCCTCATCTCTGTCCTATTCATTATCTTATCCTGAAAAAATTAGCTCAGTCCTTTTACCCTCAATCTTCCAACTACTTCAAGTCTACCTTGATTTGTTTCTTTCTGATTTATTATATATTTGTCATTAGCATACAATTTAGCACTTAATTGTTCTGTGTTTTCTAGTTTTGTCTTCAACTAAATCTTGTAATCCCTCAGGGATGGAGGCCATGTATTATAGTTTTTTTGTATAGTCAGTAGTGCCTAGCATAGTGCTGGGCATATAATAGGCACTTAATAAATCAATTGATAGATATATGAAATGTGTCCAAACTAAATCCTTTTTTAACAGGTAAGCTTTGATCCTGGTACCAAGTAATAATAATAGTAAGAAATTAGTTTGAGTTAATAGCTGGAAAATAATGATATATCCAGAAAACATTTCTAAAATGTTACATATCATATAAGCTACTATACACACTCAGGGTTTATAATCTCTTTCACAATGGTAGTTACAGGATCTAATGTATAAAGGTAAAATAATTAGGTAGATTTGGTCCCCAAAACATTACTTTTTCTCTTATAGTTTGGGAGCAGTTCTGGGATGAATAGATTTCCAAAAGGGGTCCAAGTCATTGCAAAGGGGAAGCAGATAATAAGGAATAACAAATCAAATTTATAATCAGTGGACAGCTCCTAGGTGGAGGAGGAGGAATCTCCAATTCACAGACTGGCCTAAGAACAGTAAATTGAAGGTGGGGTTAAATAAAGCTCACAATTCAAACTGTGCTTGAAACTATTCACTTGAAGATTACCAACCCAATTCACTTTTAAATGTGTACATCTAGGCCCTGTTTCATGAGCTTCAGTGTTAGGACAAATCCATAGGGCAAATATATGACATTACATAAATCAACAGGACTGAATCACAGATACTCAAGAATTTTGAAGCAATTGAAGGGTAAAATCAGGAAGTTGTTGACTAAAGTGTTTAACCTGTCTTTAAAAGTATTCTTTGTGCCAGAGAATTTGTGAGTTGCGTAAGTGAGGGGTCCTAGTAGCTGTAGACTAATGAATTATTTCCCTATCAGGCAAGTTTGTGAGATCTAACAAATGCCAGAATGACTAAAAATAAAAACAGTCATTTTTGCAGATAGTCACCATGAAATTGGCCATTGCCATGAAATTAAATGTAGGTAATTGAGAGGAAGGTATGGCAGGGGTGTGAATGCCATTCACATTCCTGAAAGCAGTTCATAATCTTGACCTATCCATATTTCCCAATGCACCTGCAATTGAGTATAGTGGATTGAAAGAACACTTTTGCTGGGTGACTTCCATATTGAACCTTTTCCAGCTGTGTATCTTAGATTTTATTGATTCTGTTTTTTAACCTGCCTCTAGCTCCACAGTCTGTATCCCAGGTACTGATTTTGGCTTTTTCCCATTATAATTCTGGACCCTTCATGAACAGGGATTTTCTGGCTGAGTTCCTTCCCCTATTCCTCAAACCTCAGTCTTCAGTTGTCATCATGATCTTGCCTGTGGTATCCTAAAACTGGACTGGGGACAGGAAGTCATTAGGAACCAGAAGGAAACAATATAAAAATCATGGCTGTCTAATTAATCCAGGGTATTTGAGGGGAATAAGTAAGTATGTAGATGATGGGGAACTAGCAAAACAAAGTTCATTAGTTTTTTTTTTTAATAGTAAATGGATTTAATACATTTAGATTTCCAAAATGTCTCCAATATGGTTTCAGTAACAAAAAATTAAAATATATTTGATGGGGGTTAGACAAACAACAATTTTTGTCATTGATAGTGAACTGATTTGGAGATAAGGAAACTTGGCAGAGCTAAATGGACATTTCTCCAGGTGTAGAATCATAAAAGGCAGAATTCTTGAATACTTTTCATAATCTGGCCCACCATTATTTCACAATGGCACAACCCTCCTTTCCTCCCACTCCAGCCATCCAGACTGCTGACCAGTTCAGGATCTACAGAGTGGTTCAGATGTTCTGGGATATTAGCATTTCATGAATATAATCCCAGAAAGTGGGCTAGAAACTCATGCATAAAAATAATAGTAGTGCTAGCAATCTGCTTTTTTCATCTTGAAGTAGGAAGCAAAGTATTTTCGTTTTCCAGTCCCAACTTCAATGGGCCCTGAGCCCTCAGACTAAGTACTTGGAAAACAATGAGCACATTTAACAGCCACTAGGTGGCATAAGTGGAAAACAGATGGCCAGGATCATTAGCATCAAGAGCATTTATGGTGGACTTAGGGGTTAGAGAGGTGGGGAAAGAGATGGACCAGCATGTGTTAAAATGAGAAAAGACCTCCAAATGGAATGTTCTCATTATTCCCAGCAGCTGTTTCAAACCTTTGCTTCGTAAGTCCAACTCCTAGGAATTGTCCTGTTCTGTCACCCCCACTTTACCAAAAAGATAAGAGTACAGCTGTCAAAATCTTCATCTGTGTATTTCCAAATCATGAAGTTTCTCAACATCTCTCCTCCATTTTCTGCTTTGCTTCCTTTTTGTAAAAAAAATATTTCTGTGAAGGCTAACCTTTCCAAACCAGTCTGTCCATAATTACTTGCTTCTTACTGTCTCTCTCCCTGTTGAACTTAGTGCCACTCCAAGTCTTAGCCCTAAATCTCTTCTCCCTTTCACTGTTTTAACTTGTAGAAAGTTGCCTATACTGATCGACTACCTCCACTGCCTTCAACCTCCTACAGTCTGGTTTCCTTTTCAGCTTTACTGAATCTACTTTCTCCTGGGTATATGAATTCTTAAATGCTAAATGGTCTTTTTTCAGCCCACATCCTTTTTAACTTGTCTGTAGCAGAAGAGAGGACAAAGGCTATATAGTCTAACTGTAGCTGAATGTTTATCCTTTCTAATGGCATTCCTGATGGTTGATCATTACAAAGATAACCAACCTATCTACCTACCTACCTGAGGGAGAGATAGAAATCTCTATCCCCAAAGCAGTCCATTACTCTTTGGTACAT